GTGAAGAGAAAACTAGCCGTTGGGTCCGTTGCGTGGCATGTCTAGACACTGCATTCGCATTTGTCGAGGCAGCCTTTGAGCCTACCAGCTGCATTTTGCCCTGTCTGTCGGTCATGCAAGAGCCTTTTTGTTTTTTTTGGTCCAATTACTATTTGTTCCTCTTCGCAAGGATGGATGGTTTTGATTTCAAAATACTTTAGCACAGTAAAAAATAGAAAGGTGATATAGTTGACAAAATAATTAGGGATCTAATACACTTTTACTTTCATGTATTATAGATGGTATTTGAAAGTCGCAGATAATATTTATGATTTCATTGGACACTTAATGAATTTGATGTAATTAATGTTTAATATATATTAATTTGATTTTATTGAATGTTAGGGTTTTGAATTAGAAATTAGGTTGATTAGATGTAATATAAGTTGTTAGTTTGATATGATTAGGTTATCTTGTAAAATAATTAATGATTTTAGATTGTTGTTGACTGTGAATTAATAAAATTATATATTTGATTAGTTAGTGCTGATTTAGGTTAAGTTATGGATTATGTTAATTAGATATATTTTAAGTTGATATTTAGGTTATTTTGTTAAATAATTAATGTTTTTTTTGTTATTGTTGATTGTGAATTAACAAAATTACATGATGAAAGAGTTAATGTTGAATTATGTTAAATTATGAATTATATTGAATTATGTATAAAATAATAATACTAGCTATGAAATACATGAATTTGATTGATAATTTTTTTTTATGGTAGTGAAATTTGATGAATGTAGGTATTCGATAATTAATTTGATGAATTTAGGTTTTAGCTGATTATATTAATATTATGGTTTTGTTGATAAATTATAGAATGTTTGATAATTTAAAAATATTATGCTTATATAATAGTATCCTTATCAATATTGACAATGATATCATTTATAATGGAGGAAGGCATGAATTCTTTATTGTTACATCAAACATGTCCCTTAATGAGTTATCAAGAATGTTATATGATTGACTTGACTTGAATATATTTGAAATAGATGTAAGGATTACTTGGATGATGTTACAAACTAGGGTCAATCAAACTTATTATATCGGTGTAGCAATCTGTAGTGACAAGGGTGTGAATTCAATGTTTGGGTTTTTGAGGATTAATAAGGTTAATATGCTAGAGCTCTATATGAATAGTAGACCTAGACGAGGAAACTCTTATATTATAGAGTTGACCTGATCTTCAAGTAACTCTCAAAGAATCATATAAGCATTATGAGCAGCTGGTCCATCTAGGTTAGGTAGTAATGCCAGTAGACAAATATGAGTGCAAAGAATTGTTAATATGGAATCGCAATTAGGTATGACATTTTCTTCATATTTTTATAGAGAATTCAAACCAAATAATGACAAAAATGAGCGTCACATTGATAGAGTTATGGTTGAGGGGGAAGATGGGGACGATGAGGATGATTGAGATATTGAGTTAGTTAAGCCTGTTAATCAATACATGGCACCTCCTAGTCCTGACTCTAAGGTTGTGAGTGTGAATGATCAATATGAATGCCATGATTGAGCTGATAATCACAGACATTCGAGCTTATCAGTTAATGAATTAGAGGTTGGAAAAAGATATAAGGACAAGTTTGAATGTGTTAATATAGTAAAATGGTGGCATATAAAGAATTCTTTGCAGTACAAGGTTCATTGTTCAACAAAAACCTATATTCAGTTGCAGTGTGTTTAGGAACTGGTTTATAGATGGTATTTATGTAGGGGTACACTAAAGATTTGATATATGGAAAATCTCAAAATTAAAAGGGTTACACACATGTTAAAACTCTTTTGTTTTGCAACGCCATCATCAAATTGACTCATATTTAATTACTAAGGTGATGTTGACAATTACAAAGAGAGAATTAAATATGAGTGTTGCAATGATTCAAGATACTGTGAAGAGGTATTATGGGCATAAAGTCTCTTATTGAAAGGTGTGGGTAGTTAAACATAAAATATTAGAGTTGTTATTTGGTACACATAAAGAGTCATTTCAAAACTTATCTAGTATTCTACTAGCCATTAGATATTCAAATCCTAGAACAATTGTCACTTTGGATCATAAAATAGTTGATGGCTATAAGACAATATTTAAGAGAGCATTTTGAGCATTTAATGCTTTAATTGATAGGTTTTAATATTATCATTCTCTAATTAGTATTAACGATACTCACCTTTATGGTAAGTAGAATGCTAAGTTGTTGATTGTAGTTGCTTATAATGCGAATCAAGGAATTTATTTATTGTGTTTTACTATTGTGGAAGAAGAGACGCACAATAATTAGAGATGGTTTTTGGATTTGCTTGGTCGATGACGCACGTGTACAACATTGTGATGATATTTCTCTCGAGTCGGGATCTCTCTAGTGATTGGGGAAAAACAAGGAATTTTTATTTCTTATCAGTACAAAAAAAAAAGGTTGTCTCCTAGTATTTTAATCACTAAAAACTCTAACCGGTCTCAAAGTTTGAATAAAGAGACTAGTTGTGTGTAGAGAAGATGTATCACCCATAATATATTTTACCTAAGGTAATCTGCTTTGTTTGTTTGTCTGATATAAACTGAGGTATTGTTGTGTTTTCTAACCTAAAAAATAAATTAACTATCCAGCACAAATTATATCAAACTGCAACACACATCAAACCAAATTAAGAGTTCAAACAATCTAAGTATTATACAAAATAATAAGCATTTGGTCCTAAAATTTCACAATCTTAGCAATTTGTCAACAAAATAATTTGATATTATAGATTAACCTTTCGACGATGAGAAATCAATGAGAGAAACTTATGCAACCAGGGAAACAATGTTGGAAAAATTTGGGAAGCAATCTAAAAAAGTAAGGATCAAATTTAAAAATTAAATAAAATGAAATATAAAGGGATGTAATTGAAAAATAAATCAATTATAAAAATATTAAAAAATAAATAGTTTTCTAAAAATAAGGATCAAATCTAACAAAAGAGAAAATCAAAGAATGATGGAATTTAAAAAAATCTCATTTTATGAATTATTTAAAACAAAATAAATAGTAATAAAAAGAAGAGGAATCAAATCTAAAGGAAAAATACACTAAAGAGTTGTTTTGAAAATTTATAGGGGCATGTATTAAAATCAAGGAATAGAGAGAGATAAAAATAAAAAAAAAAGGGTCAATAACACCATATCATACGTTTGTTGGTCATACATGCCATTTATATATATATAAAAAAAAATATGTTTGTTGGTCATACATGCCATTTATAAAAAAAAAAAGAGGCTATCATGACAATTCAAATATTATCATGAAAACTTAGGTATAGACATTGTATACACCACTTGAAAAGCGTAAATATAACTATAAACTTTGATGTGATAAACACTCACTAACTACTTTCTAATTTTTAAAATATTTTATATGTATAAAAATACTAAATTTCCCTTAATACAGTCGCTTATAACAAAAGAACATATTAAAAGAAATTTAAATTTAATAATAATTTAGTTGTTTTATTATGTTGTTAAAAACAAAAAAAGAGTAAAAACAACCCCTAAGTTCTAGATTAATATTTCTTCCTTTAACTATTTTGTTTTTTATGGAAAAAAAACTATATTTTCACGGTAAGTGGGTGAAAAGAAACATTAATTATACTTTTTAGGAAAAATAAATAAATAAATAAATAAAATATGCGGTGAATGTCTCCATATTAAGTTACATGTAATAATTTTATTGGTTTAGTCTGTAATTTCAAGGGGGAACCAAGTTTGTATAATAATTTTTTATTGAATTTTTCTAATTTTTTTAAACTTAATATAGTTATTAAATTCAGATTAGTTTGACAAGATCAATTTAAGATTCAGTTAATTTAGTGGTTGAATCAATCTGAATAAGATAAAAGACCGGAATGAGCAAAAACCCGACAAAACTAATTGATCCTTCGAGTCGACTTATGATCAAGATAACCTGAAAAAACCTGGTTGAGATTTTTTTTTTAATATGTTTTTTTTTCTTGTTAAAAACCTTATTTTTATATATTTTTTATTTGGTTATTAACCTTATTTAAAGTTCACTATATAAATACTATAATAATATTTTATTTTTTTAATATATAATTTCAAGCCTTTTAGTATATATCTACTTTATGTTCATAAAAAAAATTATTTTTTTAATGTAGAATTTGAAATTCTTTAATATATATATTTTATATTCATAAAAAAAAATTATATTTTTTCAATATAAAATAAAAAAATCTTTTAGTTTAAATACTTCAACTTAAAAAGATAACATATTAATATAATATTTTTTTAATGTGAAATATAAAATCTTTTAAATAATTTTTTAAATTTTATTATTTATAATATGATTGATTTATATTTATATAAATTATTTTTTAATTTTTTATATAAAATATTAAAAATTAAAATATCTTTTTAATTTTTTTAAATTAATTTAAATTAACTCAACTCAACCTATATAACTCAATCCTGATTCCTTTTTTTGGGTTAACTCTAGATCAGGTCAAATGCTATAAAACTTTGTGATGAGTAAATGTATAATCACTAAACGTGTAAATTAAATAATTATAATATTAAATGTTCCAGTTAATTATGTATTAATTAATCGGCGAATGTATAATTAATCAATTAATGAGTTACATTTCAGTCTTGTCATGGCCTGGGCTTGTCTCGTCCATACGAACCATTTCAAGCTAAGTTTTTTCCTAGGGTTTGGAAGAATAATAATAATTATTTTTTAAAGTTTTTTATTTAAAAATATATTAAATTAAAATATTTTTTTATATTAACACATTAAAACAATTAAAAAATATTGAATTAAATTAAATTTAAAAAATTAATATTAATATTATTTTTTTAAAAAAATATTTTTAAAATACAAAACCTACGTTATTAATCCGTGGATAATGTACATGGAAGTGGGCTATTTTGGATATTAAAAAGCACCTGTAAAATCATCATCTCCATATATATTTGTGCCTGAGAGAGCTTTGGCTTGGAGGTAGCCAGGAGTTCCTCATCCTTGTAGCCAATGACTTATAGTTAAAGCACCCAGATTTTCTCTTGATTCCTTGTCCTCCCGCTCTTTAAAAAAATGTTAGTTTCCTCTTCAGTTGCAACATGTAAGCTCACTTATCTGTTTCTCTGGTTTCAAATTTTCAAGATTTCCTCTTTTCGTTGGAATAAATATTGTTGGTAAACTTGGTTGGTTTCAGGGACAGACTGTGGATCGTCTTCTAACTACCCTTTGTGCACCATGGCTTTTTTTCATTCTAAATTAAGATCTTCCTTTCTCAGAATGGAACCCTTCACTGTCTCTTTTCTCCCAAGTTCAGAATTTCTCAAACTTAGCTCCTTCCATTCTTTTCAGGTATGCCGAAGCTGTAATAACCAATTCACGCTTTCTTGCTCATCTGCGTTTTATCTACAATCTGCAATTACTGGCTACTTTTATTGTATTGGGTTCTTTCTCACCAATGAAATGGGAATTGATGATGACTTTAACTCTTTGTATTGTTTAGTTAAATCTTATTTTCATTAGGCTATTATGTTTGTCCTGGAATGTTGGCTTTTCTTGCTCATCAGGAACCTTTGTTTAAATTGCTTAAAATATATGTGAAAAAGGCCTCTCTTGTAGTATATTATATATTGTCTCTGATTTTCGGGAGTTATTCTTATTACAGTTTTGTGTGACATTGATTTTTTTTTAATTAAGTATAGTGTGATTGGTTGCGTAAGAGTTCCACAATTCTAGGAGTAGTTTAGGTTGAATTTTCCTTTCAATTCAGTTGTTGTGAGGCGTGGCTTTGTTTATCTTTATTGTTTCTTGTGGAGGATCAGCACAATTGATTGCATTGGTGTTTAACACCGCAAATAAAAGTGATTGCGGTATCATTTTTACTTGCATTGCCACTTGCTTGAGAATAGCAATGGTTTCATCTTCTGCATAAATTACTACAGATCAAATGTTACATGATGGGGCAAATATTTTTAATCTCCATTGATGGAAAAATGTGACCATATTAGTTGCGGGCCTTGGCAGCTTCAATGTGAAATTCGTTCCATCATTTATGTTTTTTGGTGGATGAAGCCAATGGACTGATAGATATTAACTTCCATATTGATGATTTGATAACTTTATCAATAAAGGCCCCGAATGGTGCTTTTGGTCAAACACAGTTGTACCTGAGGTCCAGGAAAGATTACATGTCATCCAGCCATAGTTTGTATGCCATTGCCTCTGATATCTGGTAGGCAGCAGCAGTATGAAGGCTATGGCAATAAACACTACTACGATTATGCGAGAAAGTCTTGTATCATATTTGACCTTAAACATCGTTTCTTGAGTATGTTGTACACTTTGACTTTATAATCAGTCATCTTTATGCTCACTGTATAACTATAATGCCGTTTCTTGGTTTTTATTTATCTCTTTTCTGTTTAAAATGAATTTTATTTTTTCCCTTCTGCAGCATAGTGATCTTAAACTTAGGCATTCATTCAAGTCTAGAACTACACCAAGGATGTTGCCTGAACCACATGCACTGGTTATCACAAACGAATATCCTCAAAATGCTGATTTTCCTCGGAATTATTCAAGAAAGGAGAAGAAGCCCTTTCCAATACCCATAGTTGAGTTGAGACGAGCTGCAAGGGAGAGGCTCAAGAAGCGCAAAGGCCAACCTAAAGGACGTGCACCACCTCCAAAGAATGGTTTGCTCGTTCAATGCCTGGTGCCACTTGCTTATGATGTATTCAATGCAAGGATCACGTTAATTAACAATCTCAAAAAACTGTTAAAAGTGGTTCCTGTGCATGCTTGTGGGTAATCTTCATCTCTGAAAAACCATAGCTCTTGGTTACAATCTTGCAATCCAATTTATTTGCGGAAGCAAGGGTATCTTAAGGGATTGTTCTATCTTGCTCTCACATGCACTATTTTAGCCTTGTTGAGCAATGTTGTGTTCAGCTAAATTGGTTAGTCATACTGTTCCTCCTTAAAACTTTTAAGGCAAAATGCATGGTTCGTGTGTCATATGTTGTCTCTGATGGCCCTTCTATAGATGCCTGCATCTGAATGAGATGTTATTGCTTGCCAATGTTCATCATGCGCAGAAGTTGACCCGGCCTTACGATAATCGCCACCTGTTGTCAGTGGGAATATAGAAATAAATGGTGTAAAGAGATATAAGGGCGTTGTATTAGTGAACTTTTGATTGGAGTTTTGGCACGCCTATGAAGCATCTTGAATTTTATGATTTGCACGGAGATGGTAATAGTGAATTTTGATAAGATGTTTTTGCTACTGAATACTACTGGTTGGTAAATTAACAGTGTTAAACAAAGCACTCTTTGTCTTTACTGTGAATAGGTGCAATCGAGTTAGTTGGATAAAGAATTATCATGGGGAATTCAACCTTCGTGGTGAATATGGTCTCTCCTCATGGTTTGAAGGTCTATATTAGAGTGGTTACTGTCTACCTTTTGCAGGTGGTGTAACGAGCTCCACGTGGGACCTGAAGGACATCCATTCAAGTCATGTAAAGGCAAACATGCCACCTTCCGCAAGGGTCTTCATCAGTGGACAAATGCAGCTGTCGAAGATGTACTTGTGCCAATAGAAGCCTACCACCTTTATGATCCTCTTGGAAAACGAATTAAACATGAGGAGAGATTTTCAATTCCCCGAATTCCTGCAGTAATGGAGCTCTGTATCCAAGCTGGTGTTTACGTTTCTGAATATCCAACAAAAAGGAGAAGAAAACCAATTATTCGCATCGGAAAAAGGGAATTTGTTGATGCAGATGAAAGTGACCTACCAGACCCCGTCCCAGAAGTTCCTCTAAAGCCAATATTAACCGAATTACCCATCTCAAAAGCAGTAGCCCCAGCTAATGAAGAAGAAAAAACCTTGCTTGCCGAGGAAACACTACAAGCATGGGAAAAGATGAGGAAAGGAGCCAAGAGGTTAATGCAGATGTACCGCGTCAGAGTTTGTGGATATTGCCCGGAGGTGCATGTGGGACATAGCGGACACAAGGCACAGAACTGTGGGGCCCACAAGCACCAACAACGGAACGGACAGCATGGTTGGCAGTCTGCTGTTCTTGATGACTTGATACCGCCAAGATATGTGTGGCATGTTCCTGATGTGGATGGGCCGCCATTGCGAAGGGAGCTGAAGAACTTCTATGGTCAAGCCCCTGCTGTTGTAGAAATTTGCGTTCAGGCTGGTGCTGCTGTACCAGACCAGTACAAATCAACCATGAGGTTGAATATTGGGATCCCTTCCAGTGTTAAAGAGGCTGAAATGGTTGTTTAAGGTATTCTTCTCACCTCCTTCAGGCAAGTTGTAGAGTGCGTGTAAAGTATTGAAAGGGAAGACAATGCATAGATTCTTTCAGGAAATGGTAGCAGTTTTCTTCGATTTTGGGCCCCTGACTCTCTCAAACCATCTCTGATTCTATTCAATGGTCGAAATTACTGATATTAAACTAGCATTACAAACATGCACGTTCCCTTTTAGGCCAGCAGGCTAGCAAAGAGATCAATAGATCCCTGGAAGCAGTTAGAGATCAATGAAATGTTATAATTATAATCATAATCATAACTTTAACTATAATTATAAAATGAACTAAAACAACTTGTTCTTTCACCGTAGACCAATAATGCTCTCCCCTACACTCAAAGCTCATGTGGACTGCACTGTCGGAGAACAATGCGTTTTTTATTGTTCCTTGGATGTCGAAAAGTGCATTTTGGTTCCTTAAGTTTTTTTATTTTCATGTATTTGGTTCATGCAGTTTTATGTTTTTATGTTTTAGTCCACAAACATTATTTTTATTACATTTCAATCCTTGACTTATGGAAGATGAGAAAGGAAGTTGTTAGAAAAAGGAGAGATTTTGATCAACCACTTTCCAATCATAAAAAAAGGTTAATCCTGTTGTCAATGAATTTGTTTTGGAAAATGAAGTTAATGGAAATGGTTTTTCTTTAACCATGTAAAAAAATGTAAAAAAATAGGTGGATTGATGCTTGTAAAGGGTTTTTTGTTTTTTTAATTCTGTTGGATTTTCGGTTTCTAAAATAATTGAGGGTGTTTCTGGATTAAAAATGAGGTTATTAAAATTTCTATAATATTTTTGGATGTTTCATATAAACATAACTTGAAAATTAAATTTTAAGTGTTTAAAAACTCGGAATTTGCTTTCATTGACTAGAAAATATTTGAAGTGTAAAACAAAAATTCAACACGTGTTAAATAAAATAAATTGATAATTATATGCAAATTAATATATTTAATTTATCTCCATAATGGAGATTTTTAATTTTTCTCAGTATTCTATTAAAAAAAATTCAGCCATTTGAAATTAAAAGAAAAAATATATTTTTTTCAATCTAGACTTTATTTTCTTATTAATGCATCTTTCAATTATTTTAACTTAAATTTATTTTAAAATTACGAGCATTCATTTCTAAATAAAAATTCATCATGGTCTTAAAAATGAATAATAAAAAATCAAAACAATGTCTTAGTATTTAAAATATATTTGAACAAAAAATAAATGATAAATGTGACAAAAGTATATAAAAAAATATATTAAAAAAAAAACACAAATTTATTTTAATTGAATATCCATGCAATTGTTTTTCATGTTAGGTACATAATAGTAAGTGAAAAACATATTAACATTCTTATAAAAAACTATATTATTTAATAATTAAAATATAATATTAATCTTTTTATAGTACATTTAAATGTCAAAAAATAAAAAATAAAAAACAAAGAAGGTGTCCGTTTAGTACACGACACAATAAGCAAAAGGTGCGCATTGATATGTAAAGCTAGACCCACATTATTAGCCCCACATGATTAGCCTTATATATGTGTGTGTGTGTTTTAAAAGGGTAATAAATTATTTTTCTTTTTTTTAATAAAAAAATATAAAGGAGGTGGCAGTTTGGTGCTTGACACAACAAATAAAAGGTGTGTGTTGGTCTGTAAAGCTAGACCCACATAATTAACCTTATCTTTATATATATATATATATATATAGTGTTGGTCTATAAGGTTAGACCCACATGATTAGCCTTATCTTTTTTATATATATATTTTAAGAGGGTGATAGATCATTTTTCTTTCTTTTTCTTTTTCGTTTTGAAAAAAATAGTTGATGACATTTTATCCCTAGTATCTCCGGCTATTTTAATCGGGCAGGATGTCATGTCCCTGGTTTCTTAGACCAAAATACCTTATTTTCAACTTCTTTTTGTTTTACTTGAAAACAGTTAAAATACCATAAAAACCTCAATAAAAACATTTATGGTATTAAATTAGCACAAGATAGGTTAAAATACAAAAAACCAACCCAGGTTTTAAAAATTTTCATGGCTTTGATCTACTTTTTCAGATAAAATAAAGGTTTCAAAATATTTTAATGAAACTTTTCTCATCAAATAGATTTATTGACACCAAAATTAATATTTTTTATCGTTGGAATATGGTGAACCAATAACCTTCTCTTTTCTTCATTGTTTTTTGGCAAGTTGGTCTCTTCTTTGTCATATCGAGGGATTAAAAAATAAATAAAATAATTTTTTATATCAAAACTAAAATTACAAAAATTAAAGGGATTGTACAGGAAGATAGACAGACTAAAAAAAACTTTTATGAATAAATTTGAGACTTGCTATGTGGTTTTTCCTTATTTTACATGCTAATCCTCTTTTGTTGAATTTTATCTATATCAAAAAAATTATAAGAAATTTGTCCTTAAATTTATAATAGAAATTTATAATTGAAAAAAAAAGTTGAAGGACAAAAAAAAAATGTGTGCTCTATATTACTATGTGTAAAAGACTATGGGTTTTAGTATATTTTATAATATTATTTTAATTGGGTAAATAGAATATTAATTAGTTAGATAGTTCACATTATGCTGCAGACTCAATCAATTTTTTCCCAACATAAAAAAAAAAATGTTTATGAAGAATCTAAGATCAAGGTGATTGAAAGAGATTGCATGTGTTGTTAAATATCATGCAACAAGCATCTCATATTTATATTTAATCAATTAATTTAATCTAATTCAAAAATAAAATTCATTTTAAAAAAAGTAAATTCAATAAAGACCGAAAAAAAAATACTTAGAAGTAACTCATGTTTTTTTCAAAATGACTAAAAATCCCATAGAAAGGAGGAAAAAAAATTTAGAAGATAAAATCAAAAAATAAGCATAAAAAAAAGAGTAAACTTAAGTGAACCTCTTAAATCTATGTTAATCTCTCAAACTTATTTTTCATTAAATTCTAAACTTGAACTTAACCAAGAAGACTCAACACCTAACTAATTTAATGTTGAAGGATAAAATCCAGTAGGTGACAACATTTAAAAAAAAAATTAAAAATCAAGTTGAAAAAAAAACACTAGTTGTTAGAGCAATGATTTAGAAAGCAAACCAAGAATACCATAAAACAAGCATCTTATACTTATATTCATTTAATTAATTTAATTTTTTTTTATAAAAGTGAAATTTAATAAAGACCGATAAAAAACTCAAGGTGGCTTGTGTAATTTTCAAAAGGATTGATAAGTCCTATAAAAAGCTAAAAAAATAAATTATAAAGCCTAATTTTCAATCAAATAAATACTAAATGATAAAATAAAAAATAATTAAGATGAATAAAAAAAATATCAAGTAAACTCATGTGAATTTTCTAAACTTAGGTCAATTTCTTAAAATTATAACCCGTTAAATCTTAGACTCGGACTCAGTTAAGAAACTTAATACTTAATCAATTTAATGTTGAGGAATAAAATTGAAAAGGAAATATCAACCTTATAAAATTTTCAAGGCAAAAAAATTAGTAATAAAAAAATAAAAATTAAATTTAATAGAAAAAACTAAAAAATAATGAAATTGAAAAAAATATTTAATTTTACATACGAAAAAGTTTGGAGGGGGGTGAAATTAGATAAAAAAACATAAAAATTAAAAAATTAGAACCAAATTTAAAGAAAAGATAAATTAAAGAGATTCTTTAAAAAATTTAAGGGTCATGCTAAAAATCAAGAAAAAAAAAACGAAAAAAAAAACAGTTGTTGACTCGAAATGAAAGAACCAATTACCATATATGTTGTCTTATCATAAAAGCGACCCCGGAACAAGGCCACCACTATCCTGAAGGGCAGTGCTTGATCATTAGATGATGTATATTGTTTGAAGCACATTTGCTTTGTTCATACGTTGTTTTTTCTTTAATTTTTATTTTTATTAAATGACTAAATTAACCCTCTAGAACAAAAGAACCACGAAAAAAAAATCAAAATGAAAAGATAACAATACCCGTAAACTCAAACTTATTTATTTTTTGATTTCAAGTGAAAAAGTTAGTTTAATGTGACAAAACAAATAAAATATCTAAAAGGCCCTGGATGCTAGTTTGATTTTTCTTTTTTTAAGGGTATTAATATAATTTTACATTGCAAATAATATTAAAAAGTAAAGAAATAAAAAAAACCTGGAAAATATATATATATTTCTTTTAAAGGCAACAAAGTAATTTCAATATGTTTAAAAAATTGTGCACACCAATTTATCCTCAATTAATTTTATAATGTTGAATTAATTCTCTAGAAAAAAATGATTTTCCCTTCAATTGCAAGCTTTGTTAGAGTTTTTAAAAAGGATAAAATTATCATTTTACTATTCTAACTATCAGTGAAATATATTTTGGGTTATAGTGTTTATTGATGTCTTTTAGATTTTTCTTAATTTAATATGGGATCATTAGGTTTTAAGATATTTATACATACTCCAAATTAACAAAAAAATATTTTTTTTTTAACTATACTTCTCATCATAAAACAATTTTATTGGACTCCTCCTCACAAAAAATACTATTAACTTTAATATGTATTTTTTTTTCTTTGTTTTTTTTTTTCTAATTTATGTTTTTTTTTATTTTAATTTTATTTTTAACATTATATTATCTCAGTCTCATAACTCAGATCATGAGTTTGATTAGTTGACTCGAGTTTTTTTATATAATTGATTTTTTTTAATTTCATCCTTTAAAATTAAGTTAATTAGGAGTTAGGCTTTATAATTTATTTCAATTAAATTTTTATAAGATTATTTCTATCTCATGACTCAGAACTTGAGTCATGTTTTTGGCAGTTAATTTAAGTTGAATTGAGTTTTTTTATGTAATTTTTTTAATTGGTTTTTCAATTTTAGTTATATCCATCCACATTATGTTCCTTGTGGATTGAGTTTTATAATTTATTCAATTTGATTTTTTTAGATTATCGTAGTCTCATGATCCGGGTAGCGGGTTTGATAGGTTAACTAAGGTTAACTCAAGTTTTTTTATTCTCTTTTTAAATTATTTTTAAATTTTATTATTATTTAATATTGAGTTTATTAAAAATTAGATATTTAATTTGTTTTATATATGGTTATCATGATCTCATAACTTGTCAT